TTTCAGTCATATCTGCCTTTCTTTGCCAAAATGGCCTCTAACCGACTCATTTGGTCGTCAAACATTCCTTTCATTTGGCTGCGTTGAACTTCCATTTGGGACATCATCTGGGTTTGGAGGGTCTGAACTTGGGCGGTGTGCTGGTGGTGGTGTTCATTGACAAGGCCCTCTAAGGTTTGTTGGCGATTGGCCAACTGCTGGAGCTGAAGCTCGAGTTGCTGCACACGGCTTTCGTCTTCGTCAGTTTCCATGCGTTCACAAGGCAACTTGGCAAGAATTGACTTTTCCAATCGCTCCTCCATTTCCTGTATCTGGGTCACGACCGGAGTTGCCTGCTGGAGCGGCACATGCTTCAGAGCTCCTTGCCATGGATCATGGGTGAGCCAGGGGTCAGTGTCGGCATGAGTGCTGCAAAGCTCGACGGTGGATTTGGGACCAATGACATGACTGGACTGGAGCATGTTGGCAGACATGGATTCACATCGTGACACAACAACTGGGCCATGCTGCAACGTCCAAACAGCTTTTGGTGGTTCTGTCACCGATTGAACAAGCCACATGATCCCACCTTCAACAGTCATGGCCGGCTGTAAAGGCCTGGCTTGCCATTGCATTTCTGCGAACACCTTGGCCAGCATTCGACGGTCACTCCCAAAAGGCCATGGGCCACAGTGCCAGTTGAGCCTCTCACCTGGTGCAAGGAACTGGCTGTTGGGCTTCAGTTTTGCGTAAACTGCCTGAAAATGCTTGGCCTGAACTCTGATCCCATACCTCCGACCAGAACGTGCAAGTCCAGTGCTCAACGGTTCGCACTGCATGGTGTGCTGAGCTTCTTTGAGTCCAACCTGGGGCATCCAAACAACTTGGAATTCATCCGATGGTGCGGATGAGTCTGGCATGCGTGGCTCTATGTACAAACCTGCAACCCCACTGCATTTCAACACTGCTGGTTCCTGCTGTTTCAAGTACCTGACCTGAAAACTGAAGTGGCTGGCTTGGTGAGCTCGGACAGGGCGACCACTATCAGAGAAAAACTGTCGCTTGAAAACATCAAGAACAACATCCTGAGCATGGTCCATGGGGTCCTTGTGCCATTTGTCACATGAACAGTTGTCGGCATGGCATGTTTGGAGGGGCATGATATGCTGCAGTGCTTCTTTGACTGGGTGGGCCGCAAAGGTTTCCCAATCTTGCTGCCATTGGTCTTGGAAAATCGTGACACGTGCACAGGTGACCGGAACATCAGGGACAGAGACATTGACTGGACGGCTGTAGGGGCTCACTAAAGTGCCACCTAGCTGGACCAAAATCCCATGCAGCAACACTGGTTGTTGGTTGACTGCGCATCTGGCGGCAAACCGGATTGAGCTCCATTGCAGGTCTGTGCGGATGTCACCTGGGCCATTGACAATGAGCAGTGCAAGTCCCTTAGCTGTCAGCACTTGGTTTGCCTGTAGGAAAGGCATGGCTTCGGCATGGGTCACCAATGCAACACCGGTGGCAAGAGGTCCAACTTGTGTCAGTGGGATCTGCATCATCATGACATCAGGTGTTGTACAGAACGTATCCGGCTCAAGTTGCAACCTGCTTGGATCAAGGTCAACTGGCTTGGCTGGCACTTGTCTCGGGCGAGACTGCTTGTCTTTGGTGGCTGGCTTCTTCTTGCGGTCTTGGACAACCATGGCAAGTTCATCCGGCATGACCAACTGAATGACCGGCTTGTGCTGGTTGGCAAGTTGCTTGAGGCTTTTCCACGGAGAAACTCCTTCAAGTGCTGTTCTGACTTGGTCTTTTCCAAGGCTCTGCATGACGAGTTTGGCACGTTGCTTGGACAGTGTCTGAGGCACACCATGAAACTGCAGGAGCGTGGCAAGGAGTGTAGGCAACTCCTCACTTCCAGCTCCCCAACACCACGGCCGACGGACACTGACTGCAGACATGTGGGAGACTCGAAACTGGGCTCGAAGTTGAGTGCTAAGCTCGTTCAGTTCCTCATCATTTCGGGGCAAAGCTGAGTAGTTGAGCTGGGCAATCAGGAAAGCAACTGCTGCGGCTCCACACATGTTGACACCGAAAGACCAACGCAGGCAAGACACGGTGAAAGACGGGACATCAAAGGCTTGGCATAAAAGTCCATGAAGCCGATTCAACCCATTCAAGTCCACATCATCATGGTCGTATGTGTGCACTTCAAGGCAGGCTGACTTCAAAACCCAGACAACGGGGGTCCAGTGACCATTCATCAGGACGGCTGAAACAAACCGGTCAGTTGGTTCTGCGACTGTGTTGATCCATGCGGGAACAGATTCCACGGTCCCATGTTGAGTCCAAGCTGTTGCAAGGAAAGGGTCAAGGAGAACTGCAGTTTTTTTGGGCATACATCACAGTGGCCTGGATGTGCCACAGTAATTCATCATCCGCCCAAACATGCGCCTGGTTGGTCAACAATTGGTCTCGGAAAGTCCAAGAGACTCGTTGGGACCTCAGGGTGGCACACAGCTTGACATCAGGCGCTAGTGGAGGTACCATGGCCAGCAAACCACTTGTGGACAACTGCAGCAGTGCCTGTACTGATTCATCACTGAGAACAGTAGGCGGCACGGTGGTGGGCACACTGACATGTTCAATGGGCATAGGGGCAACATGGTCATGGCATGACATGTCAACATCGGAATCAACTTGTGTGGCAACATCACCTGCAGGTGCATTCATGGCAACCACATCTTCAGGTTGGTATGGGACCATGTCTTCAGGCATGAAAGGCACTTCCGGGTCAGGCTGGGCACATGTCGGGGGTTCGAATCCATGCTTTTTCAACAGGATGGCTTTGTGTTCACAAAGGCGGGCATCAGCTGGCAAAGCAACACCATCCATAGTACACACCTGGACTTCATACAAAGGCACATGCATCAAGTCACATTCGGCTTCCAGCAAGTGTCGAACTGTGCTATCAGGCTGGTGCATGATTGTCACTGTGGCTCCGACATTGTCAGAGACTTCAACCTGAGGTTTTCCACTTGGCGATGCAAAACCAAGTGGTGCACTGGGTTCCTCCGTTGGCAACTGCACAGCACGTGGGATAGCAGGGAAAAGTTCCTTGCTCTGCTGCAAAACCACATGTTTTAAACTGCTCAGTGACCGGAGTGGTTCCAATGGGGCGCCATGTCCAAAAAGCTTTTGAACATGGGCGAGGATCGCTGTTGCTACCCATGTTGCATGAAACGGACTGGCCAATTGCCCAACTGCGCACAGATTCAGTCTGGCATCACTGCTCCATTGTTGAAGTGGTGGGACCCCATTATGAATGGCAACTTCACAGGCATGCATGTGACGGTACTTGATCTGATTGCTTAACCCAGGGATCTGAAGCAGCTGAGCAAAAAGTCCACGTGATTGCAGGGTGAGGTCAGCAAAACCCTGTGGCCGGCATTCACAAGCGCATGCCTGAGTCTGTCCTCCCCAACTATGCAAGGCTGTTGGCAGCTTTTGGTCCGGTTGGACGACATATTTCCGCAAGGGTTCACCCCCAAGTTGGAATCTTTCGATTTCTTGTTGGGTCAAGGCAAGTTGGGCTTCATCTTCATCACTCCATCTTTTGGTGTAAGGCATAAGATCCCGTACAACCAACGGTGACCCTTTTGGGAAGGAAGGGACAAGGACACGGCCAAGTCTGCGGTGTGTGGCAATCAACCACCATCGGTACCTCATACCAGACCAAACCTCTTCCAACTTCATGCAACAGTCCACAACATGAAAGCCCATTTGAGACTCCAACTCACGGATGTGTGCAAGCACGTATTCATTTGACCTTGCTGCCACTACGCATTCTAACACCAGGGTGGGAGACTGCAAAAAATTTGCCAACCTCAGTGTTGCAGGGAGTGTGGCTGCTCGAACATCACTGCCTCCATCTTGCTTTCCAGCTCGGCTGTAAGGCTGGCAGGCTATTCCAGCCATGAGCGTAGTGGGCTCGGGGCACACCTGGTGAATCAAGGCTGCCGTTCGATCATCCGTGATGTCTGCATTGATGACTGGGATCCCTGGGTGAATGCTGCGGTGAAGCTCTGCCAATTTTGGTTGCAACTCAACAGCACATTTTGGGTGAAAACCGGCATGCTTGAACCCCAGGCCAGAAAAACCAGCACCAGAACAAACCTCAATGTAACTTTGGACATGTGAGACCTGGGGCGGACCATGGCAAAGGACACAAGAAGACTCATCAACGGACAAATCCACAAGGCCAGAGAAGTCCAAAAACACGGCATCCAACAGGGCAAGGGTAGGGAATCCACAAGCTTCCGGGGGGAAACAACCTACCACCCTAACTCTTTGCTCACCCGGGCACAGTTTTCCAACACAAGTCAAACCTTGCCAGATTAGGTCGGTAACGACCACAGAAACTCGGCTCCCTGAAGTCAACCTGGTCCAGTCAGGGTTGTACAAGTACTGTAAGTCCTCGGCACCTGGTCCTGTTAGACCTTTCATGGCTACCACAAACCACCCAAAGATTTGCCTGCACGGCCTCCCGAGCTGGTACGGTTTTGGGCCAGAGGCTGTTCCAAACCACCAACCAGATACTGATATACTGTAAGCAGATCCCCAAAACCGTGATTTATCGAAAACAAACCACAGCCCACTTGAGCTCAAAGCCCTCCGTCATTGCATTTAGTACTCATTGGTCAAGAACGGGATTCCCAATTCACGGATGATAAACAATTCCCAACATAAAGCAGATTGTCTCCCGCGATGAAACCAATCGTCAAATATCATGAACTATATCATACTATATCCTTATATCCCCATATGACAAAAAGCTCCAACATGCTATTTCACCCCTAGCAATGATAGTCAAACATGATAGTTTAGACCTAAACACCCATGATAGTTTGCTGATAGTTTGCTGATAGTTTAACCCCCATATAACATAATGACCCCTAATGATAGTTTAGATATATCAACCTCTTTTCGGTTTCAGTTTCGCCACTGCTGGTCGTCCTCGCCTTGCTGGTGGTCCGGGCTCTCAAGAAGCCACTGCCTCCCTTGGGCGTCACGTCCACCACGGCAGCTCGGAAGAGCGAGCGCAGCTCAGCTCGCCTACGGCAACCGCAGCTAAGGATGATAAAGGTGGGATAGCTATCAGCTATCAATAGTTATATATGTACCATGTATGTATATAATATGTACCATATATATATAAATTATACATATAAATAAAGGGGTATACAACCAGGATATATGTGAAGCTGGGCTATGAAATAGGGCTACTATTAATAATAAACAAAAAATGGTGTATCCTCTATTTTGTAAGTTGTCCTTTTGTATAACATGTTATAAGATATTTTAAGATGCTTTACACTTGAGTTTCACTGGAATCACTGGAAACTTGAGGAACGAAAAAAGAACACCCCGAAGTGGGATTTACCCTCAAGTAATCAAATGTGGCACTGAACAATCCACCTTTTCTTGTTGATTTTCCCATTAAAACCTCCATGTCTAGGGAATTTCCCAGCTTGCTACGTTTGATGACACCTTTTTGGGTAAGCAATACGGCTTGACTTGAAATCACAGCATCACCGGCAGTTCATCGAGCACTGGGAGGATCATCGGGCTATAGCCCAACTAGTTGTTATAAATGGGATGAAATAACTCCTGCAAGGCTACATGTCACTTAAATGAGATTACGAGTTACCAGTAGTACCGCACAAGGCGGTGGCGGAAGTTTCAAAAATAGGAAACCTATAGGAGAGCTTGCTTGTTGTGAATCAGAGATGGCAGAGCGAAGCCACTGATGGACTGAAAGGTGCTTGATCTCTCTCACTCTTTCTTTCTCTTTCTCTGACTATCTACCTACCTACCTATCTATTTTCTATGTATCTATCTATCTATCGATCTATCTATCTATCGATCTATCTATCTCTCTCTTTCATCTAATTACCTATCTATCTATCTATCTACCTACCTATCTATCTCTCCCTTTCATCTGTCTAGCTGTCTACCTGTCTATCTGTGTTGCAGTGTCATTCAGTGTAATGTAGTGTGGTGTAGTGTAATTTAGTGTAGTGAAGTGTACCGGAGCGTAGTGTAGTGTAATGTAGTGTACTGGAGTGTAGTGTAGTGTAATGTCCTGTAGTGTAGTGTATTGAAGCGAAGCGACATCTGAACCTCCAAAAGTGGTCCGAACCCCTAGTGCTTTTAACATTTTGACTTCGAAATGTCCTTCGCGCCACAACGGCGTGCACTTTTTCGACATCCGAACCTCCAAAAGTGGTCCGAACCCCTGGTGCTTTTAACATTTTGACTTCGAAATGTCCTTCGCGCCACAACGGTGTGCACTTTTTCGACATCCGAACCTCCAAAAGTGGCGCGAACATGTAGTGTTGTGTACATTTTGACTTGGAAATGTGCTTCGCGCCACAACGGCGTGCACTTTTCGACATCTGAACTTCCAAACGTGGTCCGAACCTGGTGTGTTTTGTACATTTTGACTTGGAAATGTGCTTCGCGCCACAACCGCGTGCACTTTTTCGACATCTCAACTTCCAAAAGTGGTCCGAGAATGGTGTGCTTTGTACATTTTGACTTGGAAATGTGCTTCGCGCCACAACGGCGTGTACTTTTTCGACATCTCAACTTCCAAAAGTGAGAATGGTGCGTTTTGTACATTTTGACTTGGAAATGTGCTTCGCGCCTCAACGGCGTGCACTTTTTCGACATCCGAACCTCCAAAAGTGGTCCGAACCCCTGGTGCTTTTTAACATTTTGACTTCGAAATGTCCTTCGCGCCACAACGGCGTGCAATTTTTCATCTCTCATCTGGCCAGCTGGCTCCGCACCCGCCGCTTTAGCGAGCCTACTTTTCGACCCTCCGGAGCCCCAAATCATTGGAAAAACACAGTGTTTCGTGACTTTCCTACCTTTTCACGCATCTGCATCTTCTTTCTTCTTACTCTTTCTCTTCTACTCTTCTTTCTTCTAATCTTTCTCTTCTCTCTGCCTCTTCCCTACTCTGCTTTTCATCTGTCCATATTGTCGGAAGTTTGACTTCTAAACTTCCTTCGATAACTCAGTTCTAAGTGTTAAGGGCTCGGCTACAACTGTATGATATTGTGTATATATATATATATTGTATGCAAATGCAAACTGACCTGGACCTTTTTTGGTTTTTACGTCCAGTTAGTTAGCATGAGGCAATCCCGTCTTTTTACAGACCGCACCCCCTACAATACAATAGATTTTAAACGGTCGAAACAAAAAGATGGGATTGCTTTACCTTATATAGATAATAACATAATCAACAATAAAATCATAACAACAAACAACAAAAAGAAAAAAACAAAACAACATAAGCAATACACTAGATTATAAAATAGACTATACCAAAAACCATAACAACAAACCAAAACAAAAGACAATTTCACTTTTATAAAATGAATTTTAACTATCATTATTCTTCAAATTCTCCTCATGCTTCAAAGTGTTGGTGTGCCTCTTGTAATTTTGAGTTTGAATTTCATAATCATCACTTCAAATTTATGGAGATAATCAACATAATTCTCATAATCATTTATTATGAAGATTATGGGATTAATTACCACAGTCTCCCCCTATAGGGGAAGCCTCAGCCTCCAGCCAATATACTATCCCAACCCCCAGCATACATACCAGCATACATACCAGCATACATACAAACTAGCATATCACAACAGCATCACATCTTTCTCAATCTCAAATCTCTTTTAATCCGCAATTGCCATGCCCAAACCGCCCTTCATGAACTTGTTGATGACCACGTCTTCTTAACCTCAGCACGGTGTGAATGGCACAGCAATCCAAACTTTTGGGGCGAAATGGAGCGAAAAAGATTTGTGTGGTGTGCGTCCCAGACTTGTTGGTGCCCGTCTTCTCAAGTTTTTGGAAGGGTATGTCTTTGTATCAGGCATGAATGCACTGAATGTCAAGCTTGCGAAGGCTCACTGGCATGAATGCTCTATTGAAGCAATGTCCTATTCCTATTTGACACCCTGAAACCTTGATACAGACCTTGTCAATCATAAAGCATCTGCCAAGAGCAGTGTTTTGCAAGTCGCCCTAGTGGCGAAGCAAGCACTGTTTTGCAAGTCGCCCTGTTGGCGAAGCAAGCCCGTGAATGATCATCATGCCATCTCATGGGAACCAGAATCCTCCACTCTTCTCAGTCTCCTTGCCAAGGTTCTCGGACCGAGGGAGGAAGGGCACTCCACTCTTCTCAGTCTCCTTGCCAGGGTTCTCGGACCGAGGGAGGAAAGGCGCTCCGCTTTTCTCAGTCTCCTTGCCGAGGTTCTCGGACCGAGGGAACCAGAATCCTCCACTCTTCTCAGTCTCCTTGCCAATGTTCTCGGACCGAGGGAGGAAGGGCACTCCGCTCTTCTCAGTCTCCTTGCCGAGGTTCTCGGACCGAGGCCAGAAGGGCACTCCGCTCTTCTCAGTCTCCTTGCCGAGGTTCTCGGACCGAGGGAACCAGAATCCTCCACTCTTCTCAGTCTCCTTGCCAAGGTTCTCGGACCTGGGGAGGAAAGGCGCTCGGCTTTTCTCAGTCTCCTTGCCGAGGTTCTCGGACCGAGGGAACCAGAATCCTCCACTCTTCTCAGTCTCCTTGCCAAGGTTCTCGGACCGAGGGAGGAAGGGCACTCCGCTCTTCTCAGTCTCCTTGCCGAGGTTCTCGGACCGAGGGAACCAGAATCCTCCACTCTTCTCAGTCTCCTTGCCAAGGTTCTCGGACCTGGGGAGGAAAGGCGCTCGGCTTTTCTCAGTCTCCTTGCCGAGGTTCTCGGACCGAGGGAACCAGAATCCTCCACTCTTCTCAGTCTCCTTGCCAAGGTTCTCGGACCGAGGGAGGAAGGGCACTCCGCTCTTCTCAGTCTCCTTGCCGAGGTTCTCGGACCGAGGGAACCAGAATCCTCCACTCTTCTCAGTCTCCTTGCCAAGGTTCTCGGACCTGGGGAGGAAAGGCGCTCGGCTTTTCTCAGTCTCCTTGCCGAGGTTCTCGCAGCTCACGCACAATGCAAGGATGAGGCAAGCGGATACACCGGATTTGAGCGCCATGGCAATGCCGACACCCCTGAGCTAAAAAGCGTCCCTGAGTGGCTTGAGGAAAATCTCGCAAAAACGCTACGGAAGAACATAAAGATGCTGAAGAATGACACAAAATTCCAAGCGCAAACTGAAAGAGCTAATTTCTGTAGCTTTCCAATTGAGAATGTCAAAGGTGCTCAAATTGAAACAAATTCCAAGGTCAAGCTCTCCAAGAACATGTGGCGTCAAACCTCCAACTGACATTCTCAACAGCTGAGCGCCCCGACAACAGGATGAAGAAGAGATTGATGACGAAGCCAAGGCGGGGCAGAAGGACAAAGGAACATAGAGTAATCCCAGCCAATGACCCAAACGTGCCAAACACAAATTCGTGGGGAAAAACAAATGAAGGGCAAAACACAAAACCCCGAAACCAAAAGAGCACATCAAATCAACCATCTCATGGTTGCATCAAGTATAGGCATAAGTAAGAAAAACAAATGCTTAAGGCTTTCTAAAAACACTAAATCTTTAAAAGTTCGTGCCTCATCAACAATCTTGGGCAATCAGTCAATTTGTAATATTTTTGGTTCAACTTTTCTGCAATCTCTTGCACAACATAATAACCTTTCAGCCAGTGGGAAGTTCTTTCTTTCTCTGTAATTGCTTTCTTTCTCATTATCTTTACTTTGTCTCCCACCTCTAATGTTGGGTATATTCGTTCTTTCTTTGCCTTTGATGCTACATTCAGCATTGCCCTAAATTCATTTTTCTCTTTCCTTGCTTGATTAGGTGTCATACCTGTAGCGGAGTGTTTCATTTTATCATTGTATGTAAGCATTATTTCTAAATTGTAGTCTGTCCATTTGATATGTTCTCTTCCTTTCTTTTCATCTGCTTCAACTCTTTTAAAAAGCATATCTTTGTAGGTGCGTATAAATCTTTCAGCAAAAGCAGGATGACCCCTTGTCCTATACAACTCAATATTCTCACCTTCAATATAGTCTTTAAAATCACCTCCTGCTATTGCTTTTTCATCATCACTGTATATGATTTTTGGTTTCTTTCCCATTCTTTTTAATGCCTCTTTAGTTGCCTCAATAACATCAGGTTCATTCTTGCTTACAATTGGAATTACTACGGCATACTTGCTTAAAACATCAATACAAACCAATCCTCCTCTATATTTTTGTTCTTCATCAAAATCATAATACCCCATAAAAAACAAATCAATTTGATAAGTATGATTGTTATGAGGTGCTACAAAGGAATTATGCCCTCTTGGCTTTGCTTTTATCTCAACATTTTTCCTAAAGAATTGTTCAACATCCTCTTTCTTGATTGTAGGTTCTTTCTTTTTAGCATCTTCTAATGTGGTCTTTCTTGAACCATAGCCCGCTTTATCAAAATAAATATCACGAATAATTTGTTGTTTCTTACTTTCACTCATTATAGAATAGATGATATAATAAATATTAAAATTATATCATTTATTCTTCATTTTGTTTATTTAACCAGTCTTGGTGCTTTTGTGATTTCTCGTGTCTTTTTTTGTGTTGAAATGTGTAATATTTGCCACAACCACACAAATGTTTTTCCAGCAAGATGTGTTTTCTTTCTTGAAACCGTCTTCTATGATATTCCTGTTCTTCTTCTTTATGAAGTTCTTTGTAAAGGTCATTTCTGAACCTACAATATTCATTTTCATCTTGGTAATATTCTGCTGGTGTTCTACACGGCACACATTTATTGATACAGTCATTGTTTTTGATATAGTAGCCCTCCCTCCGTCTTAACTCTTCCTTGCTATTACAAGGGTAGTTTTCTACTAATTCAATTTTACAATTCTCTATACCGAATTCATCAAACAAATCAAAAGAACGTGTATTTGTAATATTACCTTTCAAGTATGCTGTGTATTTGGCTCTATGTCTTGTCATTCTTTGGCTCAAACTTTCGCAAGTAGAACCATAATAGGTTTTATTATATCCTACATCTACTATTTTATAAATCTTACCATTTTGATATTTGCTCATATCCCTACTTATCTTAACTTATCTTTTCGTTAAAACCATTTTACATTAATATCTTATTTGAAAAAGCGCAATTACAAGACACACAATAACCTTTACAATTATCTTTAAAGTGAGCTTCACAACAATTAACCCTTTGACAGCTAATATTTGATGAAACCTTGCCATCTTCAAAATCTATCACCAATGGTTCATTACAATTTTCACACTGGGTATTCATCAGGTTCATCAAAAAATCTACATCAACATACTCATTTCCTTCTACATCTCTACCTGCTTTTTTGTCTTGCTCAATGTAATTTAAAACCTTTCTCTCAAAATACTGCTCTACTATCCTTTTAGATTTACTTTCTTCACCTTTATTATATTTGAAAAACTTAATTTTGTTGAAGTCTGTAGCCCTTGTGAGGGCTGTAAAAAACCAATTCTTACTAACATACCATTCATTCCAATCATATATGACTATATCACCATCAACGCTACAACCTTGCTTTGAATGTGCGGTGTAGCAGTAAGCATATATAAAATGTTTTCTCAACAATTCTATTTTTATGTTTTGCTTCTCATTTGTTGCCACATTTTGTAAAACAACAATATCCCCAACGATATTTGAAATCCTAAATTTAAAATTAACATTAAATTTTGTGCCCATAGTCTTGATATATTTTCGGCATATAACTTCCTCACCAATAACATATTCTTCAGTTATATTTTTCATTTCTCTGATTTTGCTTGACACCATTTTACAGGTGTTATTCGTATAAGCAATATTATTATCATACATTTCTATCTTGTCAGTCCATTTGAAATAGTTATCAATGATTTCTCTAAAAGGTGTGCCTTCAAAACTCATTCTTTTGACATCTCTTAATTTGTGTCTATCTTCTTCAGTCTTCAATCTCTTACATTCATATAGCATAATATTATTTTCAAAAATCAAATTAATACAATGATTAGCATATTTCTCAAATGACATTACATTGCTTACCCTCTCTGGGTTTTTCAACTGGCTAGTGTCTCCAGTTGCCACTATTATTTTATCAGGGTTGTTCTTACAGAAGTCCCATATTAAAGCCCACTTGCCTACATTATGAAAATATATCTCATCAAACACTATGACATCATAAACTGAATAATCAAACTTTGTAAGCCTCTCATCTCCAAAAGAAATACTAAAAAACTTATTGATGGTCGCCCATTCACAACTGCATTGTTGTCCTAACTCATTGCTATGAACAACAAACAACACTTTATAATTTCTGGTGTTCATATGCTTACATATATAACTCTTGCCTGAACCTGCAAACGCTGCTTGGATAAGCAACCTTTTATTATTCAAAATATGCTCATCAATGATTTCATCAGTGTTCCATTCATCCTTGACATCACCCGTTTTATTTTCATATTCAGTTATATCACATAGAATACTGGGTTGCTTACAAAATGCCTTGCTGGGAAAATTGAATTTATCAGACCACCGCCAGTCTCCAATCTCACTACCAAATTTTAACACCTCCTTTGCCTTACCCAGATTACATTTATCAATCACAAAGGCATCAGTTTTAACTGAATACACCATTACATTATCCCTCATAAGTGTTTCATAAGCCTCATTCATATCAAAATTATGATGTTGTAAAATCAGTTCTTTCACATATTTATATCCATTCATTAAAGTTTTTGTGTCAGATATGTTAAGCACATAATGCTTACACTCATCCACAATTTTAGCAAGTTCTTTCTCATCATTTTCAGGCTCAATGACATTGCCTTTATCATCAAATTCAATCAAGCAATCCTCATCATCATCATACACTTCACCATCCCATTTAGTTTCAGTAATGATACTTATATCACCACCGTATTTTTCTTGATAGTAAAAGGCATCAACCATTTTTGAAAACACTATGGACTTTTTAGCCTTGTTAGTTTGTTTTTCCAATAAGCCAATGTTGATACAAGCAATCATTTTTTTCTTCAACTTATCTTTCTCCTCATCCTCATCCAGTTTCAATTTCCAAAGTTCATCAACTATTTTTTTGTAATTAACTTTGTATGTATTAGGTGGAATTTTGTAATAAATGACTTCAACATCATCATATTTTTTGTTCAAAAACTTACCGTAAATCAAGTTATAAGTCCTGTTGAAAAATAGATTTCTAACTTTGCTTTTAACAAGATATAATGTTAAAGCATTCATCTTGTTAAAATCATTCTTTGAATAATCATACTTTTTCCAAATATCAAATTCAGAAAAACAAGGCACTTCTAAAACATCCATTGTAGATTTAGTGTAGGCTTTCCTCCTATCTAATTCAATGTGTGTATCCTTTCCTTCAATGATGCTTTCAAAATATCCGCTGGGAGCTATGCTATGTGCTATTGAAAATATTTTCAAGTCATCATTGTTATAATATGACTTGTGATTAGGATTGAACATACCTTTATTAAAATTGAAAAATGCCTCATTTACTTTGTTAAACATATCAGCACCGCTACTACCAATAGAAGTATCCACAGCGCAGTCTATCAAAGTTTGACTTCTGATGTTCAAAATCAACCCATTAAACTTTACCTTGAGTGATGCTACATTGCCACCTGCTCCCATTATGATTTTAGGCTCATACTTTGCCCTCTTGAACTCACAAAAAATTGTATTCAAATTCTTGCCACTCACCAAATTCACTTCTTCTTCAGTATCTTCATTAGCTTCAACTATACCCATTATGTCATCAATGCCATTGAAAAAATCATACTTAACAGGCTTCTCTTTGCTATTTAAATGAAAGTCAGTAGAAGCATTTAGTTTCATATCTTTTTCAAAATCCCTTTGTGCTATGCTGTTGATGTTGTCATTCATTGTGTAAATGTGGTTGCCCTTAATCAATCCAAACAAAACGGTTATGTTTTTGTTCTTCTTATCAGGGTCATAGGTATAAATGTTTTGGCCGATACAGTTGTATAATCTGACTGTCAGTTTAAACTCTTCAAAAACAG